GAATTTTTCTGAAGTTCGTTTCAATTAGAGGGTGATTTTGGGTTATTCAAATATACATATTTTGAGTGGGAATATTGATTTGGAGGGGAAATTGATATGGGATGAAAAATGATTTGGGGAAAGAAATTGATTGGGTTTTGAATTTGGGAAAAAATGATGAAGTTTTGAATTGGAGAATAACTCTTGTGAACAAAATCTCAAAGAGGCTATGCTGGAATTGCATCAAAGAGACCATACAATTCTTGTATGTACACAATTAAAAGCACCAAAACTTCTATTTCCTCTTTCCTGGGACACTCAGTCCTCGTTTGATACACATTCGTTCCTGGATGGTGGTGCAGTGGGATGGGGTAGGGGGAGGTGGGGTTAATTGGGAAGATGAAATATTTTTCTTTTGTTGGTATGTTAAAGTTTTTTTACTTTAAATTCGTTTGTACATTTTAAAAAACAACTTTGAACTCTAGTTACAAATTTTTTTCCTATTATTTTTTTTCTTTTCTATATGCATATTTAAAGAGGGGTAAATTAATTATTTTTAATGTTGTTGTTTGTGTAGGAGCGTGGTCCAGTTGAGGGTATCACCTCTTCCCCTGTCTAGACATCTCCACTGTGGAGCTCTTGGACCCAGTCAGAGCCATGATTTCAACGATCTATATGCCCGGCTGACTGGATTCTTAGCCGAGGAGATGGGCGCGCTTTACGAGAGTTGATAGGAAGGGTCGACGATCTGGGACGACAGTTGGTAGGCAGGGTCAACGATCTATCTAATGATGTTAGATTGCTATGTGGCCACGTCGTTGACCTTCAGGATGAGGTCGTAGCGCTCCGAGGTGATAGAGGGACCGTGCGACCGGGTACTGGAGAGGGTGGCAGAGGGGGTGATGGATAGGGTGATGGAAAGGGTGGCAAATGGGGTGATGGAGATAGGGGTTACTCACCTTTGTAGCAAGATGCTGAATTATAGTCATTATGGGAGGAGACAGAGGCAGAGGTGGAGGTGGCCCCGATGATGGAGGTGCCCGAGGCGGAGTCGGTGACAAAGGCAAAGAGGGTGCTCGAGGCGGCGCTGGGAGTACCCAAGGTGATGGAGGTGGTGGCGGAGGTCACGCAGGTGGAATCGATGGCAGATGGGGTGCACCCGATGACGGAGGAGAAGAGGATGCCAATCCCGACAAAGGGTAAGAGACGTATTGTTGACATGTTGGAGCAGGTGGTTGACAATAGGGTGGGATTGCCGTCACAATATGTTGTATCTCCCTTCATGGATGAGCCGAAGGGGAGGGCGTTCGTGGATGGGACATACCCCAATCTGTTATTGGAGGTGGACCATGCCAAGTGGAAAGCGTTCGAGACGGAGTGGAGAAGAATTTTACTAGGGTAAGTATTGTATGATTTTAGTAAAGTATGCTATGCTAACTCGTATATGTTTCTTTTAACATTTTTTTTGTTTCTTTTTTAGAGCTAGCCACACGATAACTCAAACGACGATCTCAGACATTTACAAGTGGTTCCATGACATCACCACTTAGGGAGCTTGGCTCGCCGACAATGTAAGTGACCGGAGTCATAGTGTTATTTTTTATGTATACATGACTTTTCGTTTATTAAATGAAATAACTCCATTCTTTTTCATTGGCATTTCCTGATGTAGCACATCGACTTGGCCATGGATTTGTTACGCAAACGAGCTGAAATATATCCCAAATCATTTCACATTCTGGCCGAGTCATATTGAACACCAAGTTCATACGTGCCGTTATCATTGAGTATGAGTCACTCCAACGTAAAGGTAACGAATACGTGGTGCCTAAATATATGCTCGAGTGGGTCATCGGGATGTTGCCGAGTGTTGGGGGAAATCCATTGGAGGTCATGTTCGCTGACTCAACCATGTATGTGTACAACCTGTATGTGTCATCGGGATGTTGCTGACTGCATGCTCACATGGAAAACTCTCAAACTGAAATCGACGACAAGTGCACATGTTATCAATCAAGTCCACCATGTATGCCATATTACATGTACATTTCACATAGATCTCTACATCTTTGAAGAGTTTATTGTCTTGAGCAGAGGCGAGCACAATAGTGCAACTTTGTGCTTCCCCACGTCGGTCGTGAAACCACTGCTGCAACTTGTTATGGATGTTCTCAAACATTGGGAGGATTGGTAACTCTCAATCCTTCTTGAATAATGCGTTCAGAGACTCCGCATTGTTTGACGTCATCATGTTGTATCGATGACCTGAAAAATATGATCGCGCCCAGTGTTCAATCCCCATATTTGTCAGATACTCCCATGCCGGTAACCATTTGATTCATATTTCCACCATGAACTTATTACACTCTTCAACATTATAAGTTTCGGCCGCTATCCTGAACAATGAAACTATGCATGTGCCCCAAAACTTAGTCTTAAGGTTGCCTTATATATGGTACATGCAATATCTATGATGTGCCTCGGGAAATACTTCAGTGATACCATTTATTATAAACCGTCCCCGATTAGTTACGAAGGTAAGGTCCTCAACTTCTCTGATTACATCTCTTAGTTTTGTGAAGAACCAACGCATCGGCAAATCATTCTTGCTATCAACTATGTCAAATACAAGAGGGTAAATTTGGATGTTGGCATCTTGACATGTAGCAATAATTAACTTGCCTTCGTATCTAGTTTTCAAAGTTGTACCATCAACTAGAATTAGGGGTCGGATCGCATTTTGAAATCCTAGAATGTATTGTCTAAGAGTTATGAAGAGAAACTTAAAGCAATTATCGCCTTCTGTCTGAATAAAAAATTTTGAACCAGGATTAGTTCTTCTCATGTTTGGCACCCATTTTTTCTCATTCTCATTCTTTTTCTCTTTCTTCATTTCAACCACACATTCTATCAATAAAATAATATTACACATAAACCTAAAAATTCTCTTTACATTTTNATTACATATAAACCTAAAAATTCTCTTTACATTTTAACCACACATTCTTCCATCAATCACTGTTCAAAAACTAATTTTTCTACTAAAATGGGTGTCAAACATCCTATTAATGTAGAAAATCGACGATAATGACCTTTTGTGCAATAAATGTTGATTTGAGGGTCCAAAAGACAAAGTTCATATGATAGAGACAATTTACGCAATAAAAGCAAGCGATGTGGACATTTTGCATAAATTACACATTTGAAACAATTAGAACAATTTGCACGATGAATAAGACAGATGAAAATGTTTTGTGCTAATTACCCTTTTTTTTTATCTTTTTCTTCCCTACATCCAATGGTCAATAGGAGTGGCCAATACTAAAATGGGTGTCAAACACCCTATTAATGTAGAAAATCGACGGTAATGACCTTTTGTGCAATAAATGTTGATTTGAGGGTCCAAAAGACAAAGTTCATATTATAGAGACAATTTACGCAATAAAAGCAAGTGATGTGGACATTTTGCATAAATTACACATTTGAAACAATTAGAACAATTTGCACAATGAATAAGACAGATGAAAATATTTTGTGCTAATTACCCTTTTTTTTTTTATCTTTTTCTTCCCTATATCCAATGGTCAATAGGAGTGGCCAAAATTAGAACATTTTGCACGATGAATAAGACAGATGAAAATGTTTTGTGCTAATTACCCTTTTTTTTTATCTTTTTCTTCCCTTCTTCCAATGGTCATTAGGAGTGGCCATTCAGCTCCTGAATTACCCCATAATACAGTCAGGAGCCCGTAGCGAAGGACAAAGGTGATTGGTCTTATCTAATGTCCAATAGTAAATTAGAGCCATTTAATATGGAAAACGTCATTACATTTCATTTTTTTACGCTTTCACCTTTATTTTCATTTTTCATTAAGCAAAATGTCATTTTCATCCACTTTCTCAATTAAAAGTTGTGAATTGACGAATATATCATTCAATTTAAATAAAACAAAAAGAAAAAGAAAGAACTAATTGCAACTATAATCCTAATTTTTTTAAAAAAGTACAAATGAGTCCCAAATAAACTATTAAAGGGGTAATTAGCACATAATGTCCCTATATTTCGCTATTATTGTGAAAAACGTTCATACCTTTCATTTTATGGCATTTTTACCCTTAATTACACATTTGATTGTCCAAATCATCATTTATATTTATTTTCATCAAATTTCTCAATAAAGATTGTGAGATAACCCTTCTATTTAAATATAAAAACAGAAAATTAAAGAAAATTAATTTTTTTTAATTTCTAATTTTTTAATAATTTATTTGGGACCCATTTGCACTTTTAAATTATTATTATTTTAATTTTTAATAATTTATTTGGGACTCAACAAATGGAATGATATTGAATTTGAACGAAGCGACTAATTAGCGCCGTAAACTGTGTAAGGCCCTGTTTTATGGAATGGATTTTCCTAGGAAAAAGGAAAATAATTTCCAACTTCACCAAAAAGTAGCGTTTGATTGCTAAAATGTGGCCAAGAATTTTTTTTCCCTCCCCCCTCTCCACGCGCCCCTTTTCCTACAATTTAGGGAAAATGTTTTCCCACCAATTTCCAGTCTAACGTAAAAAAATTTTTTTTATTGTAATGAAAACAAATTTCATAACGAGTTGTAAATTTTTTTTTTCACTTTAATGGACAATTTTCATATAAAACAAAGTCAAACGAACACTAAACTTTGATAAAAAAAAATGATTTTTTAGGAAATATTTTTTTTTCATTTTTTTTTACTTTTTGACAATAGAGACAAATTTTATAACCAATTGTGAAAATAACTATCGCTTTAATGGACAATTTTCATATAAAACAAAGTCAAACGAACACAAAATTTAAAAATTTTCCGGATCGAAAATTATAACAATCAAACACACTTAATTAACAATTTCCTACAAAATATTTTCTAGCCAATTACTTTTTTTGAAATTTATTTTCTTTCCATCCATTTTCCACCCTTGCAATCAAACGGATTTTAATAGAAAAGCAACAAACTTTGCTATTCATTTCTTGATCTAACAAATGGAATATTATTCTTGCTTTTTATTTTGCAGTCATCTCGTACGGGATGTCGCGGGTAACCTCCACCGCCCTCCGCCGTGGACGGTGGAGTCAAACCAAATGGTACTGCACTTAACGGCGCAACCTTGGATAAACGCCGGCGAGCCGGAGGAAAATGTCACCGGAAAAAGGTTGGTCGTTCGCCTGTATGGATCGAGCCACTTGTTCTGCATGAAACGGTGCTTCCGCCACGGCGGAAGGTGGAGGCCTTCGCTCTTCAACGATCGCTTCGCCATTTCGCTTGTTACCGGTCCATCACCTTCTCATCCCACGGGTCAGTTATGCTCTTCATCCTCGTATAACTAGACATCTTTCCCTTTCCCTCTTAGCTTATCCAAAAAGACGCTTTTTTTCTAGAACAGCTTTTACAATTAAAAAGAAGTGCTTATGATTAAGCGTTTCTTTGTATGGTGTGTGAAGTAGAAGGATGAGTACTTATAAAAAATGGATTATCGAATGGAATAGTCCGAGGAATTTATTTTAAAAATAAGCCCATATTTGACCAAAAAAAACTGGTGTGGGGCGTTTTGATGGGAAATAAAATGGGGCACTAATTTGGGTACTGTGCTTATAACTTGAATGGATATCCAACGGCATCCTTGGACTATTCTCGCTGCACATTGATGATTTGGAATTTTCAAAAATAAATTTTATTATATGAGTAATTGTATTCAGTCACGCACCAGTTTAAGTAATAATTAATTTATATATTTATTTAAATAATATCACATATCTTATTTAATTAAAGAATAATGCTACTTGCTGTCGCTCACTGCAGCAGTCGTCCTATGTGACACACATATGACATGTAGTTATTTAATACATTAATGTGATAATTTTTTTTTACCACATTTAATGTATCAAATACACACTTAACATGTGTATGTCACATAGAGCGACTGTTGTAGTGAACCACTACAAGTAGCATTATTCTTAATTAAATGATTACCTAAACTTTGTTCTAGCACTTTTAAAGTAATGCTATTTAACCTTATTGGTATGACAACCTAAATTGACGTTAATGATATAAAAATTAAATAAGTCATTTAATTTCACTTTGAATTTAACCTATAATCTAATGCAACCTAGAATGAAGTTGTAATCTCAGTAGGGTTATATATCATTACTCTTAACTTTTACTTTTGCTTCCTACAGAATGGCTTTTGGATGAAACGATCTTAATTTTTATTTGAAAATTAATGTTTAAAAGAGTTTCATATTTCAGAATTACTTTTATAGGAAGTCATATTGAACCAACTTCCTCTAAAAACTCTTTTAAATAGAAGAAATACTTTCATAAAATTAGTCAAACATACTTTGGATTTTAAAAGCTCTTATTGACTTTTTAAAAGCTATGTCAAACGGACTTTTAGTATTGTTTGAGATAAATGATCATTACAAGGTAAAAACAGATTGTTATATTGATATGTCCAATTATATTTACAAAATGATTTAGATATTTTTAAATGAACAAAACCAAATAAGTTAAAAAAAAAATTAATTAATTAATTAAATAGTCAACTTCAATGTAATGAGAATAAAAATAAATTAGTTGACCATAGTTATCTCAAAAATCATATTAATATAGAATACAATTTGAGACGGGATAATCCAACTCAATTAGAAATTTGGGATAATCTAAATTTAATCAGAATCTCTCTCTCAAACTAGGGGCCCGCCCGCATTCACGACTCTTGGGAGTAGGGAGGGTTAATGAGTAATGGATAATGTTTAGCATCAATGTCATGATTTAGCATCACATTCTAAATTGCAACGGATTGTACATGGACGTGATTTAGCATCACATTCCTCAAGACACTGAATATGGGAAGAAAAAGCCATGTGAAATGAGGCAAAATCGACTTCCAACGGTCTGGTTCTAGAAGTGTGTATTAAGCGTATTAATGTTTAATAAAGGTGATATAAAATTATATTATGAGCCTCTTTGAGCTCCATTAAGATGTTAAGAATGCATTTTGAAAGAAAATTTATTATTAAAAAATAAGAAAATTTTTTGAGTTTGCGTATAATATTATTTTATTGAAAAATGTGAGATTGAAAAGAAAAGAAAGAAAAATGTATTTTGGAAAGAATAAAAATGAGAATCAAATATAAGTGTTTAACCACTTGACATTTTAAGATAAAACTTCAAGTTTTATTATGTTGTTAAAAATCACACAGTCCTGTCTTTTGAATAGAAAATGACATTGGATTTCTAGCCTATTATATTTTGATAGTTCAATCGAGGAATTTATTTCTTCTGTATTTCCGAATACGAGTGTGTGACTTTCGTTTAAATCCAAATGGACAATTCGATCCGTTTAAACTTCAAACGAACATTTGAATTTCAAGATTGAAATGCTAAAAAAACCATCATCTAGCAATGGTATGTTACGGTAATCAGATCGAATAAAAGACAATATAAACACACAACATATAATTAAATTACTCATCTTAACAAAACTGACATTTTAAGATGGAAATCAAGTATTTAGTGTGAACTGAGTTATTGGCTTTGTTGACATCAAATTTGTTTAGAGATATCTAGATGATATGCAAACATAAAGTTTTCTTTGAGATGAGTGTGTAACAATTATGGTCAAAGTTCAGTAAATTTTCAGTGTAACTGATAATAGAACTTGGAAAAGTGATATTGAAACAATTTATATCAATCCAATTCATTTGCATACAAATCATTTTCACACAAAACATTTACACAAAGACATAGAAAACGGTAGAAAAGAAAAGGGAAGGAGAAAAAGAAAAGGAAGGAGAAAAATAGATTATCTTTTGCCTTGAGTTAATTTTGTAACTGGGCTGCAATTCAAGGTAAGGAGAGAATTTGATTTCTCGTTCTGTATAGCTTGTGTGTGATTGAACAAGTAATATTGTAATTTGTAAAGTATCGAACCCACGAGAACTAAATATTTAATCAAGTTCAAATTAATAGCAACATTAATCGAATAGCAAATAAGTTTTGAATTTTCCTTACTAATATCTAAATTATCGATTAAACTAGAAAGTAATTTAACTGATTTGATTTCAAATATGTTAAAGTATTGCTAAGATGTCGAATCCTCATTATTAATTCATTTTTAGCACAACAAATTAAAATGACACTTTGTAGTCATTCTTCTAGGTCAATGTTCTTAATTTAATAGAAAATCTCTCTTAATAGTTATCAAATATATTCCTTCCATATGACCCTCCTATCTTTCGATGAATTATACAAACATGATAAATACATTAGACGATCTAGAACACATATTGAAACCATGTAAAGTATAGAGGTATATCTCTATCCTCTATCGAAATTTAGAATGTTTATTATTTTTTGCTAAAAACTTATTATCTTTCTTGATAATAATAGATCTCGATCAGTAGCTAAGTAATTGAAAAATCGGTGAAAACAAAAATAAACATCCAAGAAAATAAACATGCCAGTCGTCAAAATAATTAATTAATATTAAAAATTTCAAAACAATGGTTCATCTCATCTTAAAAATGTATAAAATTTGCATAACATATCGAAATTATAAGAAATCATATTCAAGTGAAAAGACATAATCCGAATTTTTGATAAATTGAGAAGATGAAAATGAATTTTGAAATCTTGAATCACTTCAATGATTTCTTGATGAATCTCCACATGCACCTTCTCTTCTTTGCTCAAAAATTAAGTTTGAATCTTCACTTGATTGAATTCTTGCAAGTTCCCTTCAATTCTCTCACAAAAACTATGAATTTTCCTCCTTTGATGATAATAATTGATGAATATTGGAGTATGAGATGTATATATGAGAGGTTTCCCATATGTATTCTGGTGTTATGTATTTGTAGGAGTAGAAATTAGTTGAAAATCACATCCAAATTAGTTTTCAAAGAGTTCCAATCGAAGAAGAAAAGTTGTCTTCACGCGTGAATTTTTTTGTCTCTGCACAGTAGTCAGTATTTTGGCCATAAATTTCTCTCTCGATATTCGATTAAGACAATTCAAAGTGCATTGAACAGTTGGCTCAAAGGGCTACAACCTTTCTAGAAATATAAGTTTTCCAATTCTGAAGTTTAATGTGCCAAAAATGGATCGTTGAGTAAAAATTTGGAATATAATTTGTGAGATAGGAAATTGGTTTTGATAATATTTTGATCATATTTTATTCCTTTTTTATTTCTAGTTCCATCAAATTGTCTCCTAACAATCTTTAAAGTATCGTTTTGTGGTCTGAATCAACTATTGAATATTTGCAATTTGGTCTTCAAACTTTGGACTTTGCCCATATTCCTTAATTTTTTTGTCTCTTCCAATTCCTTGTTCAACCATTGAATTTTACTTATATGACATAAAATACAACAATTTAGGATATAATTTTTTAAAACAATTGTTAAATATTGATATTTTAGTCCCCTGAATAAGTGTATAAAATACAATTATCAAATACTCTCAAATTTAAGTATTTGTTTGTCCTCAAACAAAACTATAACCTAAATAACAATAAACACAAAAGCATGCAAAAGTATTTAATTAGATAATCTAGCTTTTTATCTCAATATTTGAAATTATAGTACTAAATCTACAAACCGCTTCAAAGTCACAGTACCAAACCAATATCTACTCTTCCAATGCAAAATCGACGTGTGTGTGAAGAACTAAGTAGACAATCATGACTTTACAAGTTGCTTCAATTTTCGACCATATGTCGTCAAATATATCGTTTCATCTCCCGTATGATTCACACACTCCCAAACTTGTTCTTTTTTCACTATTTTCTTAGTCTGTAATCTAATGTTGAATATTTTATTACTGTCATCACCCTCTCTAGTTTAGGTGGACTCTACTAATTGTAAGTCAACACAACAATAAATAGGGATTCTCCAATTCTTTGATTGTTTTGACCTCTAGGACTAGACTAGGCTAATAATCTCTCATCAAAAGTCGAGTCTTCTCAAATAAGTGTTTGGAGTTTAACTAGGGTATTTGGTGAGTCTTTTGTTTCATGCACCTGTTTTTTTTTTTTTTTTTTTTTTTTTATTTATAATTTTTTTTTTTTTTTACCCCTTTAAGCTTTCTATATGACCCATATGACGAGCTTTTGGCCGAGACTCTCAAATCACACGATTTCAAGGCACCAGATTGTAAATACCCTACCAGGCTTAATAAATTGAGTCATAAAGGCTACGAAGAGATGTCTTTTTTATATTTTTCTACCCTGATTAGTGCAATATCCTTCATTAAACAACTATCTAATCAAACCGAACTTTAACTTAAGACTTTTTCCCAATTTTATCCTATTAATTTAAGACAATCC